CCTGGAGAACTCTTATTACCCGAGTGTGTTTGATGGATGTGTTTGGGTATGGAGGATGCCTGGAGAACTCTTAGTACCCGAGTGTGTTTGATGGATGTGTTTGGGTATGGAGGATACCTGGAGAACTCTTATTACCTGAGTGTGTTTGATGGATGTGTTTGGGTATGGAGGATGCCTGGAGAACTCTTAGTACCCGAGTGTGTTTGATGGATGTGTTTGGGTATGGAAGATACCTGGTGAATTCTTATTACCTGAGTGCATTTGATGGATGTGTTTGGGTATGGAAGATACCTGGAGAACTCTTAGTACCCGAGTGTGTTTGATGGATGTGTTTGGGTATGGAGGATACCTGGAGAACTCTTATTATCTGAGTGTGTTGTCCCAACAGTGAAGTTTAGAGGTGGCAGTATCATGGTCTGGGGTGCTTCTTGTGGTATGGACTAGGTCCGCTAGTCGCAGTGCATGGACCCATGAATGCAGAGTTCTACATTGTGGCAATTTTATGGTACTGGCTCTTACACCTTCCAACGTGATAACGCTCCATGTCACAAAGCAAGGATTGTGAATGCATGGTTTGAAGAGAATAACACTGGAACGTTGCAGTAGCCAGCACAGAGCCTCAGCCCAATATAACATCTTTGGGATGAACTGGAATGCAGAATAAGGGCAAGGCCAAGATGGCCCTCTTCAGTAATGGTGCTTACTAATGCTTTAAAAGAGGAGTGGAGCACAGTACCACCAGCTTTCAACCAGAAATTAGTAAATTGTCTTCCAAAACACATTGAAGCAGTCATTAAGGCTAAAGGTTGGCCAACATGCTAATAATTTCTTGGAATAAAGACATGTTTTATTCATAACTACCCCTGTCCCATGACTTTTGGTAGGATAATGTATTACTTTATTTAATGCATTTTATATCTATTTCACTGTTGTAATGCAATTAATAGAAATATCTATCAAAATATTAAATGTAAAACAATAATTATAATGCAATCTGTATGGTTTCATATTTTATAAAAACATAAACTGAAGGGAACACACCATGTTCAAGAAAAAGGTTTACAGTAGACAAGTATAAAATCAGCTGTGGAAAGAAGATGATATAGTGTTACAACTTTACTTTCAACCAGTAATTTCTGGATTAGTTTTAAGAGATAAGACTGAGGGTTTGGGATCATTCAAGTTCCAGAATTCAGAAGACTAAGTGTTCAGAAAGTCAAATCCATGGAAATGAATCAGCAGAAAATTCTCTGAACAAAATAAACAGTATGTTACAATTCACAAGTAGATAAACAGCACACAAAGATGAAATTAATGATATTTTATGCAGTATAATAACTTTCACAATACTACAAATAGTCAGAGTATAAAATCACATTCAAGACAAGTTGAACTGAAACCCAAGTAGTCAACCTAGTGTAACTACATTTTGGTAGCTGAATGAAGACACAATTTATCAGCACAGTGTTAACACATTTGTGACTAAATGAATCAAAACACAAGTACTGTAGTCAGCCTAGAGTAACATTTGTTATTGAATCAAGACCCAAGTAAAGCACTCAAGCCCATTATAAACATATTTCAAAGTAGACGAATCAAAACCCAAATACAGTAGTTATGGTTTTGCCACACTATAGCTGTGAGGATTTGTAACCAGTATGTATCCTTTCACAAGTTTTCATCACACTGTTTGTTCCAAATTCTTTACGAAACAGTATGGTTTCTTTCAGGTGCATATTCTTTGATGAAATTTACATTGTATTGTTTTCACTATGTACAGTTTTTCTCCACAGTATGTTTTCTTTCATAATATTTTAGTTCATTACTTCTTCAATAAGGTTTTTCTGCAGTGTGTACCCTCTTATGACATTTATAGCTGATCCACTGTTCAAAACTCTTTTTAACAAACTACACAACTGATGGTGTTTCTCCAGTGTGTATTATCTCATGTTTTTTTAGCTTACCCTTTATTCGAAATGCTTTTCCACACATTACACAAATATACGGTTTCTCCCCTGTATGTATTTTTTGATGTATTTTTAAGTTACAGTTACTTCTAAATTGTTTTCCACAAATGTCACAATGGTTATATCTGTCCCCAGTATGTATACTCTGATGAATTATTAATTCATCATTTGTTGTATAGTGTTTTCCACAAACTGTACAACTATAATGTTTCTCCCCAGTATGTATTTTTTCATGCTTGTTTAAATTACTACTTGTTCTAAATTGTTTACCACAAACTGCACAACTGTAAGGTTTCTCTCCAGTATGTATTCTTTGATGTATTTTTAGGTAATCTACTGTCAGAAAAACTTTTTCACATGCTACACAACTATATGGTTTTTCTCCAGTGTGTATTTTCTCATGTTGTTTTACATAACCCTTTGATCTAAATTCTTTTCCACACACTACACAACTATATGGTTTCTCCCCAGAGTGTATTCTTTGATGTCTTTTCAACTCACTCTTTCTTCTAAATTCTTTACCACAAATTGAACAACTGTAAGGTTTATCTCCAGTATGTATTCTCTCATGTAGTTTTAGGTTATCTACTGATCGAAATTCTTTTCCACACACTATACAACTGTATGGTTTTTTTCCAGCATGTATTGTCTCATGTTTTTTTAGGGTACTCTTAGTTCTAAATACTTTTCTGCACACTGTACAACTATATGGTTTCTCCCCTGTATGTATTCTTTGATGTACTTTTAAATTACAGTTACTTCTAAATTGTTTTCCACAAACGTCACAATGGTTATGTTTCTCCCCAGTATGTATACTCTGGTGAAATTTTAATTCATTATTTGTTGCAAATTGTTTTTCACAAACTGTACAACTATAAGGTTTCTCCCCAGTATGTATTCTTTCATGATATTTTAGTTCATTATTTCTTCTGAATTTTTTATCACAAACTGTACAACAATAAGGTTTCTCTGCAATGTGTATCCTCTTATGACTTTTTAGATGATTCACTGATCGAAACTCTTTTCCACACACTACACAACTATATGGTTTTTCTCCAGTGTGTATTATCTCATGTTTTTTTAGGTTACCCTTTATTCGAAATGTTTTTCCACACACTATACAAATATACGGTTTCTCCCCTGTATGTATTGTTTGATGTACTTTTAAGTTACAGTTACTTCCAAACTGTTTTCCACAAACATCACAACAGTTATGTTTTTTCCCAGTATGTATACTCTGATACAGCTTGAATTCACCATTGACTGCAAATTTTTTCCCATGAGCTCCACAAATATAAGGTTTCTCCACAGTATGTATTATTTCATGATTTTTTAATGCACTATGTGTTCTAAATTGTTTTCCACATACTGCACAACTGTAAGGGTTCTCTTCAGTATGTATTTCTTGATCTTTTTTTAAGTCGCTGTTTAATCCAAAGTGTTTTCCACAAACTTCACATTGGTAACATTTCTCTCCAGTGTGTATCCTTTCATGCTTTTTAAACTCACTATTTATTCTAAAATGTTTAGCACAAACTTCATAACTATAAGGTTTTCCTGCAGTTTCTATCCTCTCATATTCTTTTAGATTATCCACTGATCCACAACTGTATGATACATCACCACTCTGATGTATATTTAGGTCATTCCCATTTAAATTTGTTTTCCCACATATATAATTTGGTTTGGAGAATCTGATGACTTCTTTAAAGAGATCTTCTTGTCTTAAAATATCACCAGGAAACTGACTTCCACAACAGGTGATCACACTGGACTTTATATCTAAGATCAAAATATGTGATACAAAAATCATATTAATGTACCATACTTCACATGTAAGATCATTTTAATACAATCAACACACATATCAATATCAAAATATTAAAAGTAAAAATAATTTTAATACAATCAACACACATATCAATATCAAAATATTAAAAATAAAAATAATTTTAATACAATCAACACACATATCAATATCAAAATATTAAAAATAAAAATAATTTTAATACAATCAACACACATATCAATATCAAAATATTAAAAATAAAAATAATTTTAATACAATCAAAATATTAAAAGTAAAAATAATTATGACAAAATTTTCTTAGTTTTATACTTTGTAAAAACTTTACTCCCTAGTTCAAATTAATATTGAAAACATAAAATGGAAATAACAGATCATGTTAAAGAAAAAGGTTCATAGTGGACAAAGTGTTACAACAACCAGTTCTATCCAAAATTAACTTATGATTTCATTGAGAAGTGGTTACATCCCCATAAACTATCTGATTAAATCAAATAATGTTATGATGTTTGTAACATTAATAATGTTTTTGTTATAGTTCAACAATACACCAAATGCAGATCTATACAGTAAAAACTGAATAAAAACAAAATTCTTTAAAAACTTTATTAAAGGCTTTAACTAACAACTACTAATTGTTTTGGTGGGCTATAGGCTCACCATCAGCAGGAAGGAGACAACAGTGGAGAACACTGTTATACTACTTGTATACCTTTCCAATTTTCTGCATTATGCAAAAAACTTTAAACAATCCATTAGCATAAATGATGCTGCTACCTATTTATCTTTTTTTTAACACCAAGCCTACCAGTACACTCTTTCTGCATGTAAAAATGTGTTATTGAGTTACATTCAAAATTTAATTAAACCATTTTATTAACATTTTAATTATCAAGTATGTTACAACTTAAAGTTTTAGATTATCTAATTTTTTACTCCTTTTTTTTTAAAAGAAACCTGTAAAACAATACTTAAAACTCAGCATGTGATGTGGATGTAGTTAAAAATCTCAACACTTGATATAAGAGAAACAAGTGCCTGTATAATGTAAATGTTTTCATGCAGACATTCAAAGTTTCGGTGATTCAAGTATATTCCAAGAACTAAAGTCTGAGGAAACCTTTATAAAAATTCTTCAGTTCAAGAAAAAACATACCCACTTTCAAAGTAGAACAGGTATTGCTAAGCAACAGTTTTAACTTGAATGCCACACTTATAACCAATAGAAAGAGCAAATTTCACGCTAAATGTTGTAACAAGAGCAGAAAAGTTTAGCAACGTGTGTGTTTTACATAGGAAGTGTAAACTAAACTTATTCTGTTGACGAGAGTGGTGTCACTAGTGCTTGACTATATTTTCTTACATTTCACATATTAGTTTGATAGACAATTAAATTGTATATAGGTTTTACATTTATATTTTAGTTGATTTTGTATTATCTGTATTTTAAAGTTCATATTTGAAAGATTTAATGATTTTTCTAAGTTTATCTATTTGTCAACTCACTTGTCAAGACTTCTGAACATAGGTTTGTGCAAACTATTCTATCAAAGGCATCTCTGCCAATCATAACATTATAATGGCCTGAAGGCACCAGTTGACATTTCAGTACAAATAATAAAAGACAAAGAATTGGAAAGACAAATAAAACATTAAAAATAAACTATGTGAAATTATGCATATAACCCAAAGAAGATATTTTAAAATTATTCAATGAAGAGATAAAAGGTAAGTATATATATTTAAAATACTTAATTTCAAACATTTCAATGCATTGTACATTGATGATAATAGCTAGAGCTAGTGATATGGTAGATAAAATGGAAAATAAAATATAAAAGGTTATCTTAAAAAAACTTTTGATATTCATTTAGGAGGTTCTACAGATTATGTAAAAGAAATGTCAAACTATAAGATAATAAAATAGTATTTTTACACTCAAAATGAAAATCACCTCGTAGGTGAACTATTATGATCCGATTGCAAGTAACTACATTAAATAATGAATTTTTTATTAAAAATAGTAGAATATATCAAAATTAAATATTTTGTTTTTATGAAACTACATACTTTTAAGAAAGTTCTTGTCAAACTTCAACCAATTTCATGCACAAGTTTTATTTTTGGAATGAAATATAATGATAGTGACGTTACCTACTTATACAGTAAGAAGCCAAAATCCATAGGGTTAAATCAGATTTCCAAAAATAAGTTTTTGTAACCCATGAACCAAATCTCCTTTGAAAATTGAGTTTGAGTTTTCAAATATTTACGATTCTACTTTATTAATTTGTATTTATTATTCAAATACTTAAATAATTTCACATTGTTCCAATTAACATGAAGAAGAAGACTGTCATATGTTCAAATTCGAATTCCCTAATTTACTATTTCTCTATAGCTTTTATATTTAAGACTAACTTTTAAATTTCTCTATGTTTGGCCAATATACATTCGATCACAGTTAGAAGAGATTTTATAATAACCACATTTATCTATTATTGTGATTTTACCTTTAAAACTAGCAGTAAAATGACTGTGAAAGTGTTCAACCAAAATTGGTATATTTATTAAAAACATTACTTATATATAGGGAAATGAATTGAGTTTTAAACAGCTAATGTACAAAAGGCCAGTCCAATTTCCTGAGCTGTCAGTATGCAAATTATGGAGTGGGAAAACAGTAGTGACTGGTTAAATGAACCAGTTTAGATCAGAAGATGTTGTCTTAGATGTTAAGAGATTAAACTATTTGGAAAGCCAACTCAGAACATCAACTTCAGAAATTCATGGAGATTGAGAGTGGGGGGTAGGTTTCTACTGATAAATATACAAATTACCTACTTCCAGTAATGTGCAGAGGACATTAAAATGGCAGGGGCTCATTAACAAAAGTGGAAATTTTTCAAGCACATGAGGTGAGCCTTTTTTTTGTGGGGTGTTAGAGGGAGACTATGGGGGCTGTAGGTTGCCTCTGGTATGCATAGGTAAAAAATCCATAAGCAAACAGATCCTCTTTTATTCTTATTCATTTTGTCTTACAAACACTTTTATGACCTAAACTAAACAGTAAATTTTTACATATCGACATTTAATACCATATTAATTTTTTTTTACTGTAAAGTCCCACTAGGCTCTATGCTCCACTTATTTTAAAGCTGAAATTCTTTTTTTTTCTTTCCTAATTACTTGCAACAAGAAATATGTATTATAAGGTATATCTCTTTGTAGTTGTTGACAATTTTTATGACCAAGAAAAAAAAATTACACTTTTGGGGCATAAGTGCAGGAAGCCCACCTAGCCATGCATGTCACTGCCTACTTTTAACATTTTCTTAAAACTGATGTCAACTAGAAAGTTGGAAAGCATTCACAGTGGACTATTAACCAGGGCCCAACCATGTTCTTAAAAGTACTTCACATAAGATTGGTCAAATATATTTTTTATTTAACAGATCTATACACCTCAAATTAATCCTGTCTTATGTGGTTCAATAAATTTTATTGTGCACTCTAACATAAATTCTTTGCTGTGACTAACTAAGAGTGCACCACATGGTATTAAAAGATTTTCACTGTTGCCTTGAAAGCTGGGCAGCAATTGTGCAAATTGCTGTCGTCAATGGCATTGCCATGCATGCATGACATTGTAGCAAACTTTTGCAGAATTCAAGCAGATTCATTTAGGTATAATATATAAGCAATGTCAGAAATCTTGCTTAAATTATAGGCAAATTTTGTGCTGAAGTGAGATGGGTGCATACTTTATATGTTTATTGGTATGGTCAAGTGATGATTAGCACTTATATTTTGAAAGTTACACAATTTCTAAATTTTTCTGATTTATTACTGATTCTTTCATGAAAACAGATTTACATTTAGGCCTGGGGATGTAAGCTATATATACTTTATGACAGCACTAACTAACCAGATTCTAGTAAATCTGTAAACAGAAGAGGGGATACAATAAAAGAATTACTACTGATGATTTGAGGTAATAGTCAATAATTTTTCAATAAAAAATTACCAATAATTCAATCAATTTCTTTAACTCTTTCGTTGCTGCATCAGTGAGTTATACCAGCCACATGACCCCAAAATGACCATCAAGGTTTCCATACTATAACTTTTAACATGTTTTGTATATCTTCATGAAAATGTTCACACTTTGAGTAAACATTACAAGTCCATTGTGGACAATAAATCAATAAAAATTTGTCTGTGAATACAATGAGTCAGAGTGTTGACTGCTTTGATTACAAAGTGATTTTCAATTTAAGATGAAAAATCCTTTTCTTCATCTGAAAATTATCAAATGTCATTTGTATAATCTGTAAAACCTCATAAATAAATATCAAATGTTCTTTTTCACTAAAACTTTATATTTTAGCTGTCATTTTCTCTACCCTAACTCTATACGCATTCAGGCAAATTTAACCAAATTCATAAACACAGTAAAAATAAATAAAATAAAATGAATATTACTGTTCTATCCTCTTTAGCATCTATTACAATGTTCCAAGGTACTCCTCCTAAGAGTTTCTACTTCTAAACTCTGCACCTCTATTTCCTATGTTTATTTTAGTTTAGCAGCTGAAGTAGAAACTTGCCAAACATAAAACAATGATTCACTGCTTCTGCCATTCAACTTTTTACATGATATTGTAATATGACACCATCAACATCAAAAAGCTCATACAACATAATTACCAGAACTTTCCCACAGAGTACATCATAATTCCAGCTCTGAGAACACAGCAGGAGAAGATTTATTAGCTTGTTTACAGTACAGTGGTTGCAAAGTGAACTGTCTGAAGTAATAAAATATGAGAAATGTTTTTGATATGGCTCTGTACAAATTCTAGGCCAATACAATAAAATTGGTAAGTATCATGTTAGTTATCCTCCCAGGGTGGTCAGAAGTTAGCAATATAGCTGCACAAAGAGTGTAAGTGCATTTATGAACATATATAAATATTATTACCATGAACTCATCAATGCTTAAAGTATTGAACAATAAATAACAAATATACAGAAAACAATGATTTCTGGTATTTACCATGTTACAAAATTGATTTGTACTCGTGTCATACTTGTTAAGCCTTGCTGTAAGCCCCATTTATTCTCTCACATGAAGGGGGAAGACAAACACATAAAACCACTGTAATTTATCTGGCTTTCTAACTAAGCTATAGAATCTCATTTCTATTCAAAGCAACGACTTAATCAACAGACTTCAACATTTCCAGTAAAACTCCAGCTTTCCCCTTTAAGTCAATTAAAAATGACTGTCAGATTTTCTTAGTTTAGAATTTGCTTTTTCTATTGGTTATAAACATGTACTTAAGAAAAATGTGATTTCAAAAGAATGGAGTAGTGAGCAGGACTATGCTGGTAGGTTTGCTAAATATCTCAGCTTCTTAATGTCTGAAATATGAGTTCTCAATTCATTAACCACTACAGGCATTGTATGGTAGTCATAAGACAAAAAAAAGACCAACAGGACAAGAGGATATAAATGTGTCACACATACAAAAAACAGATATTTCGTATTTTGTTTTTACTATTTTCTTTTGAATTATGAACTACATTTTGATGTCAATTTTATTGATATACATTGATGTTAAAGCTAAGTAAGTTGTGATGATAACTCTATAAAACATTATGACATGCATTCTTTGACCTGTCCATAGTGAAAGGATTAACCCAGTGTCAATGAATTTACAGTTTTTAGGAGGTTTTTGTACTTACCAGATTTACTTTCCAACCTAGATTCAATTTTTTGTGAATCTTCTGAAAATGTAGTTTCTGTTTTCTCATTCACAACATTAGATTCTGAGCTATGCAAATCATCATCATTGTTGTCACTGAACTGTGAAAAACCACCATCTTTTGGTAGATCATCAGGCTGCTCTGTTTTCACAAATATGCTCTATAAACCAAACAAAAGGTCTATAAAAACAAACTAGTGGCATGTCTAAAATAAACAAGTACATATCATCTCTAATATAAAATATGATGATATAAATCTACCATTTCAAAGTTAATTATGTGTTATAAACAAAACAAACTATTTTATCTTTTTTTTTTCAAGAAGTCCAGAAACAAAGGTGAAAAAATACAGAGAATAGCTTGTTTGTTTGTTTGTTTTTTGTTATGCACAAAGCTACACAAGGGCTATCTGTGCTCTGCCCACCACGGGTATCGAAACCCGGTTTCTAGCGTTGTAAGTCTGCAGACATACCGCCGTGCCACTGGGGGGCCAGAGAATAGCATTTTTATTTCTGTTACATGTAGTTTTAGATTAACACACAAGTATTGAAGACAGGAGCATAATTAAAAGGAAAGAAAAAGAAATAACCTAATATACATATTTAAATGAATAAACAAAGTATTGAGCTTCATAAGGATATAAAAAATGACTAGACATTGTAGTTGTAAATATGACATATAACATCAACTTACTGATGTTACAGCTATTCCAGTTTTACTAATATTTCATGAAAATTTCCTTTAGCCTCATTTCTAGTTATCACCGTTAGAACATTGTAATATCTGTGAAATGCTAACAATGTTACAATAAGTATAGTGTAACACCTGGGGACATCTAAATTAATGTTACAATAAGTACAGTGTTACATATGTGGACATAAAAATTAATTATACAATAAAGAGAGTGTAGTATCTGTGTACAGCTAATATTAATGATGCAGTAATAACAGTGTAACATCTGTGGACAGCTAATATTAATGATGCAGTAATAACAGTGTAACATCTGTGGACAGCTAATATTAATGATATAATAAGAACATTGTAACATCTGTAGGCTACTAATGTCAATGATAAAATAAGAACATTGTAACATCCATAAACTTATAACACTGATAAGGTTATACCTGATGATGGACTTTGTAGAAGTCCAAAAGCTCATGGCTAGTGGAGGTAAGAAGTTTAAGTTTTCAATTATACTTTGGACACAGGATTTATATTTATATTGGGATGTATCACATAATTTTGTTTCTTTTGTTAATATGATGCTATATTTTGTGATTATATAATGTATTGTTACATCTCCGTTCGTTAGTTAATTTTCCGTAAATTCGTTCCGACGAAACTTTAGCGACACCAGTCCTTTCT